ACAGTTAGAACTGCACTCTAATAACACAGGAAGAGCAATTTCAGGTGGTTTCCAGGCTTGTGATGGGGCATCTGAGGTTTTGCAGATCATAATGGTATCACAGAAAGCTCTAAAGTCCCCTTTCCCCGTGGTGGGGGCATGTAACCAAGGCTGGGCTGGGACTAAGGCATGCTACATGGTGCATATGTCACTGCCAGCGTTGGGCAGGTCAGGGAGAGCTGCAGGGGCCAGGCTATGCAGTGATATGTACCCACTCACAGACATCAAGAAGGGGTAGGGCTGCCAGCTCCCACACCCAACCAGCCCAGAATGAGAAATGTGAGCCTTGTGCTCTGCTCTTACCTCCTAGGCCAGCTGCCATTTCCAAGAGTCTCAGGATAAAAAGATGGAAATGAGGCCAGGTGCTGATGGCTCACACCTATAATCTTAGCCACCAAGGAGGCTGAGATCTGAAGATCGAGGCTTGAAGCCAGCCAGGGGAAGGAAAGTCTGTGAGACTTTCTTCCAATTAACCACCGTAAGGCCAAAAGTGGCGTTGTGGCAGAAGTAGTAGACCACTAGCCTTGAGCACAAAAGCTCGGGGACAGCACCCAGGCCCTAGACTCAAGCCCCAGAACCGACATTATAAAATAAAAAGAGATGAAGGAACTGCTTTGCAAACCCTATTTGTATCTCAGGATCTGGTGTCTCTAATTCCCTGGGAGGAAAGGGAGGTCTAGAACCAAACAGTAGTGAGGAACTCACTTTGGCTTTGCACATGTGAGTCCCTTTCTGAGCCTTTTTTTTTGTCTGTTGCAAGGACCAGCTGTGTATCTAGGCCCAGTGCCCCTGGGGGAGATGGAGAAGATGAAGTCTCACCAAATAGTTGCAAGTACAGTGCTGTCACTCCATTTGTCTCTGTAGATGCCCTTGAGTTGGCCTTGAAGCCCCAGGGTCACTCAGCATTGCTGACTTGATCTTATCACTTCAAGCCACTTCTGGCTGAATGCCCAGCAGCTTAGGGATGACTCTGTACTCAGGACTCTTCATGTGTCACCCAACCCTGGGGAGAAGCAGCTTACTCTACCTCCTGCTGTCCTGATGCTGCAAAGCAACCCTAGGGCCAGCCAGCGTTGTGAAGAAAGGAAGTGTGACAATGTGGCAGGAGTGATCTAGGACCTGCAGAGCTAAGAGGGGACTTTTAGAGGTGGCAGGTTTTGTGCTAAGTCTTGAAGAATGAGTACAATGTTTCCACAGGGCCGAGAGAAAGGCACTGCATCAAAGACAGCAGCATGTGCAAAGGCCCAGAGGGGCCCAGAGTTGCTTTGCTTGCCCACCCTCACCAGTTCATTGCAGACTGTGTTATGTAGTTCTTTATAGCCAGCATTTTCCATTCCCATTGCAGCCTTACCAGAATGATTTTCAATAGCTCTGTCTCAGGAAAGTCTCCACGACTCTCCAGATTGCCTACAACAGTAACTGTGGCACAATTTGGCTTCATGTACAGCTTGATCCAGGGACCCCAAACGTTGTCATTGGAACTTAGTCTTATCTCTACTCTTTCCAGTGGGAACTTCCATCTCAGAAAGTTCTTGCCAACTCCTGGGCAGCTTCAGGCTTCCCTCAGCCCTGTAGACACCCCTGTGTGGCATCATCCCCTACCCTAGATGTAAGTCCTACTGGCCTAAAATGGGTTACTTGTCCCACCCTTGACCAATCACTTGACAGAAAGAAGAAATATGCTAATTAATCAGGATGATTTCACCCACTATCCTGAGGCTAGAACCCTGATGATCACTGGAAGTAATTCCCTGGAGGAAAATCAGGGTGCCTCTAAGCAGATAAGGGATCAAGAATCAGCTACGTAGCAAATATTCACCCAAGTACCTCATTCAGACTCCCTCCAACTTATCAGGGTGCTCCCTTCTTCAGGGAGGTGCTGATAGGACCTGTGACACCCTGGGCTTTTTCTGAGTGCAATCCTTGTCTCTTCCATGCCCCGGTGAGCTCTTCCGCAGGGACCACGGGTCTGTGATTGTTCTTGGGGCTCCTCCAGGCACCGGGGCTCCACTGAAACATCTTGAAGGTGTCTTGCTTATGTGTGGATGTGGTGGAAGATACTGATATGTGACACCTCGTTAGCTGCGGATGTGGGGAATTCATGAGATCTAAAGTTAGGAGCTGTCCCACAACACTGAAGTCCTGAGAGGAACATGGCCCAGCATCCTCACCCTATTTTTAGTTCAGACACTTATGGAATGACATCTGAGTGCTTGCACGCCTGCTCGCCCACCACTGGGAGTCACACAGCCTGATTCTGCCCAAATAAGGGTGGCAGCCTGTCAGTCTCCCCGAGAGGAAGGGTGGGCCCAACAGGTGGATGGATGGTGCAGAAAGGCTTGGATGCCAGGGATAGGGTGTAAGTGGGTCAGATACCAGTCGAGTCCATGCTACGCCCTGTAGTGTTTCTTAGGCCTCCCAGCTTTCCAAGTAGCCCTGACCTCTTCCTCTGTCCCCAACAACAGTGTGGCTGCCTCTCCCATCCCTGGAGCTACAAGATCTCAGGATGGTTTACCCTCTTTTTTTCCCTTTTTGTGCCATTCTTGGGGCTTGAACTCAGGTCCCTGAGCTTTTTTTGCTCAAGGCTAGGACTCTACCACTTGGAGTCATTGCTCCACTTCCAGCGTTTTGGTAGCTCATCGGAAAGAAGACTCTTACAAACTTTCCTGTCTGGGTGGGTTTGGAGCCACAAGCCTCAGGTCTCAGCCTCCTGTGTATGCTAGGATTACAGGTGAGTCCCCAGCATCTGGCTTGTTCTTCTTTCACCCTTCCCCCCATCTTCTGGTGCTAGTATTCAAACCTAGGACCTCCCACATTCTAGGTAAGTGCTCTGCCAATAAGCTATGCCCCGGAAAAGGCCCATTTCCTCTTACAGGAAGTTCCTTGGCTTATGGAAGCCACTTGCAGAGCTAGCTCAAGGTTGGAGGGCCTACAGAAGCTCTTATATCTCAGTGAGGCAGCAGTGCAATCACCTCTAGCTTGGTACCAGGCCAGGTGTGCTATGGTGGGGTTGGCAGTAGCAGGTGGCTGGGGTCAAGCCATCCCCATTGCCTCTATGAGTTCTCTAGTCAGACAGGTCCCTGTGTGAGAACGCTGGTGGCTCACAACAGTAATCCTAGCTACTCAGGAGGCTGAAGTCTGAGGATCAGGGTTTGTAGACTCTTATCTTGAAGTAACCACCAAAAACCCACAAGTAGAGATGTGGTAGAATGCTAGCCTTGAACATAGAAGTCAAGTAAAAGAGTGAGGCCCTGAGTTCAAGTCCAAGCACTACACACACAGGGTAAACAAAGACAAAAGACAAAGATCCTTTTATCCCACCCTACCCCTACCAGGAACACCAGCCCTGGGACATCCAGCCCCTGATTGATCCCCTGGGTCTGAGGGCCAGTGGTCCCTCTGGGGGCTGAGTTTTGCTCTTTAGTTGAAGTACCCTAAGAATTCCTGCATGTTCTGCATTCTTGCTGGTTCTGCAGGCCTTCTTCCTGAGTTCTTACTACAGCAGAGTCTGGAGTCCCCGGCAGGAGAACCCAGGCCCCTCACCCCAACTCCCCTGCCTAGGTCCATCATCCCCCAGCTGCTTTGCGGAGCCTGGAGATAAAAGCCCATTGGCTATCCTCCACCCCCCTAGCTCCTGAGCCTGGAAGAGGCACATGGATGGACCCCATCCCCTACCCCAGGGGTTCACTAAAGCCTAAGCCAGAGTTTGCGCACAGACAAGGGCTTCAGGGAGGGGTGAGCAGGGGAACGGCTGCCCCCGAGTGGCCATCTGCTGGCTAGCAGGAATTATAGGCTGTTGCCTGCTGGGTGCACAGCCTGATCCAACTCCCTGGGTCTGCCAAGGGAAGAGTCTCCAAACTAGGGACATGGGATGGAGCAGAAGGAGGGTTTCCGAGGGGTTGAGCTGAGACTCCCCCCAGCTGTGGCTTCTTCTCCCCGGATGGAACGGAAAGAGCTGTGTGTTCAGGACCACAGAGTGGGCTGTGACCTGGAGGAGGAAGGCAGGACAAAGTTGGGCCTGGAGGTGTTCAGGGAGTCCAGGGCAGGACAGGGGTCCCCCATCTTTGTTGATCTGAGCCACCCAGGTCTCCCACACCCTCAGTGTGGGCCTGTCAAGTGTGAACTTGGCTTTTCCATGAGCATCACTTCCTTATCATGTCCTTATTTCTTTCTCTGGCCCTGCTGCATCTCTAGCTGGTATGCAGTGGGAGTGGCATGTACTCTACACTGGTGGTCCAGTGTGGGATCCAGGAGGGGTGGCCATGGGTGAGGGGCAAGGGCAGTTGTCCATGCTGGGACCTGGATCACAGGAGGATGCCTGTCCCTTCTTGCAGAGAGAGGCAGCAATGTGGGCCCAGGAGGGGTTTGAGGTGAGGAGGTAGCACATGGGGCTCCCAAGCTGGGGTATCAGTCCCTGAACCCTGCTCTCATCCACATAACACACAGAGAGACCCAGATTAAGGTAAAGAAGCGACAAGAGGCAGTGTGATGACAGTAACTGCAGAATTCAGGGGTCATGGAAAATCAGTGTGGGTGTGGGTGTGTGCATGTGTGCACGCACACCCACAACCCCCCCCACACACACATGCACACACTAGTACTGTGGCTTGAACTCAGGGCCTAGGTGCTGTCCTTGAGCTTTTTCACTCAAAGTAAGCCCTCTACTACTAGAACCACAGCGCCACTTCCAGCTTTTCAGAGGTGGTAAATTGGAGATAAGAGTCTCACAAACTTTCCTGCCTAAGCTGGCTTTGACCCAGGATCCTTAGATCTCAGCCTCCTCAGTATCAAGGATTACAGGTGTAAGCCATCAGATCCTGGCCTGGTTTGGGTTTTAAGGAAGCCACAGAGACTCCATTCATGCCCCAGGACTCTGTGATACCCAGGAGCAAGCAAGATCTCCCATTCTTTCCCAATCCAGCACTGGTGTCTAACCAAACTCTGGGTTTTCTTTCTTGCAGATGTTGGAGTAGTTCAAGTTTTGGCCACAGGCAAGTCTGCAGGGCCTGAGATTGGTAGGTGGCCTACCATTTTGTCCATGGGAGGGTGCTGGTGTTGGTCTCCTGCTGCTCAGCATATAGAACCAAGGTCATGGTCACCTGGAGACCCACCTAAGTGTTTAGCAGGGCTCTATCCTGGGAGCCATGTCTGTGGTAGAGCCTTCCCTTAACTCAGAGAGCACAGGCATCATGTCTGCTCTGTATGGCTGATGGATGGCTCCAGTACCCACAATGCCCCGCACTGTATACAGTGTCCCTCATTGGTGGGCTGTGCCTGCTCCCAGGCCTCAGCACATTCTCACACTGCTGGCACAGTGCCTGCCCCCTCTCCATTTCAGGCTGGCCTCACTGGCAAGGTGTGATTGGCAAATCTCTTCCTCTGAAAAGCCTCTTGACTCCCCAACCCACACACCATAGCCTATTCTGTCACATGACTCTAGTGACTTCTTTGTCTTCCCTTGCTAACTCCAGTCCCTCAAACTTGAGCCTTCCTAGTGTGTTCTCAGAGACACCATATACCAGGCAGCAAACACAGAGTCCATTTGTGATCCAAATGAACCAATGAATTAACAAAGGGAGAATGAAGGCAGAGCTACAAGAGACCAGAGTAGTAAGCCACCCATCCCCAGGGCTAAACCGAGACAACCATGAAGAGCTGGGGACACATTTGCACAGATAGAGACCAGGAGTGGGGTTCCCAACATGGGGAAGGGAGGAGAATGAGGCTGGACATGGCAGGGTGGAGTATGGAGAGGTGGGGACACTATCCAGAGCCATTGGCAGAGTGGTGACTCAGTTGTGTCTCCTCTCTGGGCTGCAGATTTCAAATACGCTGTCATTGGAACTGCCTTGGGTATTGTCATATCGGCTGGCTTCCTGGTGTTGAAGATCTGCATGATCAGAAAGCACCTGTCTGATAACAACTCTTCAGAGCTCAAGAGCACCCCGCTGTGCACCAGTGGTAAGGGCCCTGTGACACCCAGCACCACATACCCCATGCTGCCTGGCCCCACGAAGGAAAGTGTTTTAGTCAGCTTGTGTCAGCTATAACAAAAGACCTGAGGTAGTCAACTTATAAAAGATGGTTTTATACTGTCTCACAGTTTTTGTTGTGCGTATTTATTACCCCCTGTAGGGCTTGAACTCAAGGTTTCATGCTCTCACTTTTTTTTCCCTCAAGGCTGGTGCTCTACCACTTGAGCCATACCTCCACTACTTCCACTTGTTTTTTTTCCTTTTTGCTGGTTCATTGGAGCTAAGATTGTGCTCTTGTGGACTTTTCTGCCCTGGCTGGCTTTGAACTCTGACCCTCAGATCTCAGTGCTCAGCTTGGCTCACAGATTGAAAGTTTCGGTCCAGGACTCATTAACTCTGTGGCTTTGGGACTTCTAGTGGCACAAAATATTGTAGAAGCTATGTATGGTGGAGGAAGCTGGTTTAGCTCATGGCCACAGTGAGAGAGAGAGAGAGAGAGACAGAGAGAGAGAGACAGACAGAGACAGAGAGAGGCAGAGACACAGAGAGAGAGAGATTCATAAGCACACTTGAAGACTCATCTCTGAACCCTCAGACTTCCCACTAGACCTCAAATGTCCCATCATGCCCCACTTGGGGACCAAGTCTTTGACATAAAACTTTGAATGGTGTCCTGCATTGCCACCCAGCTTGCGGTACTGAGGACAGCTCCGTGACAATTATCAGAAGAAGAATGAAAACCAGAACATAGAGCCCAGCATACTCCAGGGAGGAGAAAGTGGCCCTCTTTCTCTATCTCTTTCTTCCACCTCCTCTCCCCCCTCCCCCCACTTCCCACTCCCTGCCTCTGTGTCTTTTTTTTTTCTTTTGCTAGCCCTGGGGCTTGAATTCTGGGCCTGGACTCTGTCCCTGAGCTTTTGTGCTCAACACTAGTGCTCTACCACTTGAGCCATGGCTCCACTTCCAGTTTTTTTGTGGTTAATTGGAGATTAGAGTCTCATGGGCTTTTCTGCCCAAACTGGCTTCGAACATTGACCCTCAGATCTCAGCCGCCTGAGTCACTAAGATTACAGGTGTGATCACCAGCACCTGGCTTCTGTCTGTCTTTTTGTCCCATCCTCCCTCTGTGTCTGTCTCTCTGTCTCTTGTAGCTGTGCTTTGTGTCTCTCTGTTTTACACTTCTCTGTTCCACTGTTCTTGATGTTTCTGAGCCCCAAGTCCCCTAGAGAATGTTGGGAAGAAGATCTGAAGTTGGCTTCATGCAGGACTTTGTTTCTTAATTCAAGGATGCAGCCATGAGGTGGGCCCAAGCATGGTGGATATCAGTGCTGTGATGTCAGACAAACCACTGCTGTGTGTGGGAGAGCCACAGTGTGGTCCACGTCCCGAGGACCTGAGCAGGAAATGGGCCTCCTTGAGCAGAAGCTGAGCAGTCAGCGTGACTGTGACCTAGCAGAAGGCAGTACTGATTTATGTTCGTCTGTCCCCAAATATCTCCCACAATGCATCTGCTGTTGTATTACTTTTCTTTTTTTTCTTTTGCTGTTCTGGGGTGGATGCCGGGGCCTGAGCACACCAGCCAAGTGCTCTTTCCCTGGGATGTGTTTCCCCCTTCTTGAAGTAGACTCAATGAAATGACTGTAAATGTTCTCCAAGATGTTTTTGTACCCTTGGAGAATTTTGACTGGAAATTTTGACTATAAAGACATAGAACCCGGTGTTGTTGGGTCACACCTGTAATCCTAGCTGCTCAGGAGGCTGAGAGCTGAGGATTGATGCTTGAAGCCAGCTTGAGCAGAAAAGTCCATGAGACCCTTATTGCTAATTAACCAGCAAAAAGCTAGAAGAGGCAGGTGTGGCTCAAGTGGTAGAATGTAAGCATTGAGTGGAAAAAGCCAAGCAAGAGTGTGAGCCGAGTGTGAGTTCAAGCCTCAGTATTGGTGCACATGCTCATGGGTGCGTGCATGTGTGCACGTGTGCGCGTGCACACACACACACACACACACACACACACATGACGTATGAAAGAGAGATTCAGTCCAGAGGCTGGATGTGACATGGGGGGATTCCCAAGATACTAATTTCTTGCTATTTGTCCAGGACACGAGGGGTTCCATTCATCTTAGACACTGATGTCTCCTTGCTTTTGTATGTCTACTATGAAGAGGAAGGAAACAGCCCTGAATCACCACCACAGACCTCTTCAGGACATTAGCAAAGAAGGGAGCCCCAGAGCTACAAGTGGAAGGAAGATTTAGGGTGATAAGAAAGCTCTAGGGATCACTTAGACTCAGCTATGTGCCAGTTTAGGGGGCCTAGTGACGGGATCTGAAGAGAGATGCATTAACTGTGACCAAGGCCAAGCTGGGTTCACCTTCCAGCAAGTGACTGGCCCAGAGCCTCTCAGCACGGCCCTCCTGACCCCAGCCATCAGTGGCCCTGTGAGATTGAGCCAGTGTCACAGGTCCCCTTTCTAATGCTGTGTTTTCTCTGTCTAGACACCATCATGTGCAAGAAGAGAACCTCCAGGTAAGATGGCCACGGATGAAGTCAGAGGGGGCTGGTGGATCTCCTGTCTTGCTGCATCCTGGCTTTCTCTCAGGGCAGAGAGACATGTCCTCCCTTTCTCACTCTCTCCTTCTTTGTACTAATGGGTGGGTATCATGAGAGTGGGGACCACAAAGAGTGATAGCCACCGCTGCGCACTGGTGGCTCACATTGTAGTCTTAGCTACTCAGGAGGCTGAGATCTGAGCATTGCAGTTTGAAGCCAGCCCAGGCAGGAAAGTCTGTGCAACTCATCTCCAGCTAATCATCAAAAAACAAATCAAGAAGTGGCGCTGTGAGGCAAGTGGTAGAGTGCTAGCCTGGAGCAAAAGATGCTCAGGGACAGTGCCCAGGACCTGAGTTCATGCACCAGGACCAGCACACACACTCACACACATTGCGTGCGCACAATAGTCAAGGGCTTGGGCTTTCCAGCACACGTCTTGGGTTAGATTTTCTTAAAGGCTCTTTTTGCTAGATGACATTAGATGACATTCATATATCTTCATTTTTATAGTCTGCTCCCTAAAATGTCAGCTCCTCGAGGGGAGGTCTTCCTTTTCATCTCTGTATCCCCAGCACTTGACACAAGTACCTAGATCCCAGTACCCACAGAAGTGTTGAATGAATGAACAGGCACAGCTCTGGGCCAGGTACTGGGCTGAGAAAGGAGGAAGCTTACAGGGGACTCTAGGCTGCCGAATAGAGAGCCACAGAATGCCAGGACAGGATTAAGCCCGTGTGCCTTGGGTGTTGGGGGTGCTGGGGGTGCAGAGCCCATTCGGAAGCAGTGCATAGAGTAGGGTGGTGGGGCTTGGTCTGTTGCAGAAGCGGGAGGATAAGCTCACATGGGCATGCATAGGGATGTTTGGCTTATTGTAGAAAGAAAAGGCTGCAAAGATGTATAGTTCCTCCTCAGGGAGGATCCAACAGTGAAGCGGCTAAGTGAAGGAGTCTGAAGGTTTTCCTGATACTTCATCAACCAGGTGATTCTAGGCAGGGAGTGGATGGAATATTCTTTCTCCTAGGTGCCAGAGGAGGAGCCCTGGCACCAGGTTAGATGGTCCTATAAGAGATTTGGACTGGCTGCAAAGCTCAGTAGAGACAGCAGAGAAGTGGACCTTCTCTGGAAGGATTTTTTTTTGGAGAGGTGTAGGCTAAAGGAAGGTATTTTTCATAATCCAGGCAGATGGGGTGGACCGGGGTGGCTGCCATAGTTATTCAAAACAAATATTTGAAGCTGGATGTTGGTGGCTCATGCCTGTAATTCTAGCTGCTCAGGGGACTGAGATTTTTAGATTGAGTTTCAAAGCCAGCCAAGGAAGGAACATGCATGAGACTCTTATCTCCAATGAACCACCAAAAAAGCCAGAAGAGGAGCTGTTGCTCAAGTGGTAGAGCATTAGACTTGAGGAAAAAAATACTCAGAGACAGTGCTTAGGCCCTAAGTTCAAGCCCTAGGACCAGAATTTTTAAAAATGAAAGCCAAGTGCTAGAGAAAGAAGAACTGGAGAAAGGCAGGCAGGAAGGGAAGGAATTGAGACTTTGGAAAGAAGTAGGCACACTTTCCAAAACTAACACTAGAGGGAGTCAGTGAGAGTCCGGAAGATTTAAGATCCCAAAGAAGCATTAAGAACAAGCTAGAGTCCGCGTGTGCCCAGCTTTGTGTGTGCTTTCTACCACCTAGGACTTAGTTCCCAAAGGGCCTATTGCCTTGTTTTAGAACCTAACACTGAGTTTCTCCAAATGGTTGGATGGCCCAGTATAGTGGTGCACATTGTTAATACCAGCTACTCAGGAGGCAGAGATAGGAGGATCCTGGTTCAAAGTCAGCTAGGGAAAAGTTAATGAGACAACTTATCTGAAATAACAATAATAATAATAATATACTAATAATAAAGGTTTGTCACATGGCTTCGATGGTGAAGTGTTCATTAGCAAGCTTAGAGGACTTGAGTTGAATGAAAATGAGAAATTTTTGTGCTCAATGTAGGGAGGGTTGTTACTGTCCCTAGTGGTTTATGGCTCTTCTGTGCACATGCACAGGCAAAGATGAAAAGAAAATCCAAAATATGTGTTGTCTGCTCAGCACTGCTTTGGAGACTGATGGATGAAGCCTCTGTGTGTGTGTCTGTGGCTAGGGACTGGAGCCAGAGGGCAGGGTCACAGTGCAGGGCCACAGGGCATTGCACTGTTGCTTTTTTCCTAGTGGTTTGAACTCAGAACTTTACACTTGCCAAGCTGATGCTCTACCACCTAAGCCAAGCCTTCATGCTGGAGGATTTTTGCTGGTTGTTTTTGAGATAATCTCACATCTTCCTCCAGCACATGCTTGAGTTATGATCTGCCCACTTGACGCTTCCTATAGTCTCTGGGATCATAGTTGTGTGCCTATGATATCTGGCCACTGTTCATGGAGATGGAGCCTCGAGGATTTTTCTCCCAGGCCTGACTTGAAACCTCAATCCTCTTATTCTCAGTCTCTTACATAGCTTGGGATGAGAGGAAGGTACCACTGTACCCAGCCATGGGTTGAGAAGGATTCTGAAGAACTGTTCTGACTGATCCTCCCCTTTCCAGGCTTCCAAGTATGTTTTGCTTGTTTTGCATTTTCTCTGTACTCATAGAATTATTTTTCTTGGTTGGCCCATGTGAAAATCCATGCAGCATCATGGTATTTCACCCCTAAATCCATCACAATTGTGCCTCCCATAGTCCCAGCACAGAGGCCATTCCTGAGATGAACCTTAATTCTGTAATGTCACCAATTTCCCCTTCTGTAGTCACATTTCTCCAATTGTTTTCAGAGTAACCTTTTATTGCTCTACTTATTCAGTGCAGAAAATATCACTGGGTTTGATTTTATCTCTCTTTAGTCAGTGGTGGACAATTTCTGCCTTTTTCTTACCATTTCACATCAATTTGGAAGGAACCAAGCCTTATTTAATTTCTCTCATATGATTTCTCATTTTGTAGATTTGTTTGTTTCCTGTTTCCACATAAAGAGGTCCAGACTGAATTTGTTGTTATTGTATTGTGTTGGTTTTGGTCAAGAATACTACATAGGGAAGGAAAGGGGAAGAGAAGGGAGGGGAGAAGAGGGTAGAGAGGGGAGCTTCAAGACGATTTTGTGTTTCTTTTCTGGTATGAGTCAGCAGGCACATGGCTACAGCCAGCTACACTGCTGGTGATGCTTCATTTGATGGCTTGACAGGAAATGACTCTGGCTTCTGCATATAGAGATTAAAACATTCCCCTTTGGGGCTGGGAAGGTGGCTCAGTGGTAGAGCGCTTGCCTTGCATGCATGAGGCCCTGGCTCGATTCCTTAGCACCACATAAGCAGAAAAAGCCGGAAGTGGTGCTTGGCTCAAGTGGTAGAGCACTAGCCTTGAGCTGAAGAGCTGAGGGACAGCGCCCAGGCCCAGAGTTCAGGCCCCATGACCAGAAAAAGAAACAAAAACACAAAAAACATTCCCCTTTGCAGTTAGGAAGGACTGGTACTTTGAGATTCATGTGACTATCTGACCACTACCAATTCCTCAGTACTGACTTTGAATCTGTTCAGGATCTGTGCCTGAATGAGCTTTGGCTCTTGGTGGTTACAAAATTACTACGTTTCCAATTCTAGCACTTCTTCTACATTTGATAGATGTAGGGTTTTAAAATTATACCATACATTAGTTGCACAAGAGGGTATTTCAGCCAGGCACTGGTGGCTTACACCTGTAAGCCTAGCTATACAGGAAGCTGAGATCTGAGGATCATGGTTGAAAGCAGCCTGGGAAGAAGAGTCCATAAGACTCTTAACTCCAAGTGCCCACCAAAAAGAAAAGAAGTAAGAAACAGAGGTGTGGTTCAAGTGTAGAGGGCTAGCCTTGAGTGAAAAAGCTAAGAGACAGTACCCAGGCCCTGAGTTCAAGCCCCACTACCAGCCCACATGCACACACACACACACAAACACACACACACACACATGAAAACCAGATCTGATTACCTTGTGGTCAGGGCCACTGAAGGCCACTGCTTCCAGACTCCAGCAATGGGCAGCAAGAAGTATGTGTTTAATCACAAAGTCAATCCCACGAAGTTCTTCCTGAGCTTCCCCTATTCATGATTTGAACTCTTCTCCTTCCAAGTAAAAACTCTGGCTCTCAATGCTACAAAATATGTTCATACATTTTCCCTATCCTAATTATATACACCAAACACTTCCAGAATTAGACTGGACAGCTGCCCCTGCTCAGTAGATCCGAAGATGCTCCTACAGTGTGTTAAGATATGTAAGGCAACTCAGTCACGAGAAACAGAGAAGCCCCATCTTGAGAGGTTGAGTTGGGAATCTTTATTGGACAGCTGGCGGTTGCAAGTGGACTCCTGTCTCAAAGACCTGCAGCCCCTCAAATACACTCAACACTGTCAAAAAACTGGGCCATGAGAGCAGGAGGGGAAAGAAAGAGCAGAAAAACAATACCAACAAACCATATCAATTCCAATGGAGAAATGAAGTGGGATGCCATGGCGACCAGAGTGGAGACAGAAGACACAGGCACACAAGGCCTGGCATAATGGTGCCTGAGCTCATCCAGTCCTAAATAATGCTGGGGCATGGGACAGGGTCATGGGAAACTCAACAGTCTCCCATGTTCAAGGCATAGGACTGACGGTCCAGAAACCCGTGGTCCAAGTTCCCACCCCTGCCTCTAGGAATTCAGACACGCCCATCACCTGGGAGGTAGGACTCCACCCTCCTCCACCATGAAGACAAGATGGCCCAGTTAAAGCCAATTTCCTATCCACCATGTGGCCAAGATAGCGCTAGCTAGACCCAGTCTCCCCATTTCAGTGGTATTGTTGTTGTTGTTTTATTTGGCTGATTGGAGATAAATGTCTCACAGTTTTGTCTGCCTTAGCTGGCATTGAACCTTGATTGTCAGATCTCAGCCACTTGGGTAGCTAGGATTCTAGAGCCACAAATCAATCACTCTTTCCTCCTTCTTTCTTTCTTTCTTTCTTTCTTTCTTCCTTCCTTCCTTCCTTCCTCTCTCTCCCTTCTTTCCTTCCTTCCTTCCTCTCTCCCTCCCTCCCTTCCTTCCTCCTTCCTTCCTTTCATTTCTTTCTTTCTTTCTTCCTTCCTTCCTTCCTTCCTTTCTTTCTTTCTTTCTTTCTTTCTTTCTTTCTTTCTTTCTTTCTTTCTTTCTTTTCTTTCTTTCACCATCTCCGAGCTCTTTTGTTCAATGTTAGTGTTCTATCACTTTCAGCCAAAGTTCTGCTCCTGGTTTTCTGGTACTAAAATGGAGATCAGAGTCTCACCAACTTTCCTGCCCTGGTTGGCTTTGAACCGTGATCCTAGATCTCAGCCTCTTGAGTAGCTAGGATTACAGTCAGGAGCCACCTGTGCCTGGCTCACCTGTTCTCCTGATACACCCCAGGGTGCCCTGCAGTCATAACTCGTCTTTTTCTCCAGTCATCACATGCTTCCCCAAGACCCTGCCTACCTTGCCTTTTACTGAAAGTTGTTCCTAGATTCCTGGTGGCTGGCAAACCCACTGGTTCAGAGCCAGTACTGTGTGTCAAAGATCAGCCTCATCCACTAAGCCATCCTGCCACAGCCAATTCCAAGCTCGGAGCTGCAGCCAGCCATGGGAGGAGGCCACTTCCTGGCTACCCATCCCCCCGGGGCATCAGCACCTCAAGTGCAGATTCTGACAGAGGTCCAGCCACTCAAGATGAAGCCCTTTTAACTCAGGGTTTGATGAAGACAATCAGCAGGATGAACTCATTGCTCAGCCTCATTGTCTAGACTGGGCAATCTGTCAACTTGGGTGCTTATGAGCTCATTATCCTTCAAGGGAGATGTACAAACTCCTGATAATGCTGGTAATTCTCACTTGAGTCTTTCCTCCATTTCTTTCCACTTCTCTCACTATGCCTTTGTCTTCAGAAAAAAATATTAGTCTATTAATTTTAAAAATATTAGTTTCTATTACTTGTACTAATAATGGGTTTCATAGCTGGCAGCTGGTGGTAGACTTCTGTAATCCTAGCTACTCAGGAGGCTGAGATCTGAGGACTGTGGTTCAAAGCCTGCCCAGGTAGGAAAGTCTGTGAAACTCTTCTCTCCAATTTATTTCCAAAACCTGGGAGTAGAGCTGTGGTTCAAGTGGTAGAGCTCCAGCCGTGAATGAAAAAGCCAAGTGAGAGTACAAAGCCCTGAATCCAAGCACAAGTACCCTGAGTTCAAGCCCCAGTCCTGGCACACACACACACAAGAGAAAGAACAAGAGGACATCATTTTCCAGGTACTTTCCTATAGCTCTTGTTAGACTGAAAGAGGTAATGAAGAGGTAGGTAGGCAGGAGTGGCACAGGTTTCATTCAGGAGAGAAAGACCATTGAGGGTCTCAAGCAGAAGCTTGGATCCAATGCTTCTTGGAGACTGGGGGGGCTTTTATGAGTGATCAGTGGAAAAGTAGTGAGAGGCCCTGTCAGGTTAGAGAATTGTGTGTGGTTTTGGTATATAATGGGTGGCCTGGGCTGTGCAGGTAATGAGGAAGAGGTGGGGTGGTGGGATCTGTATCAGGTAACTAGAATGGGTGTCCAGGCAACTCTAACAGATCTCTCCACCTTTTTCCTCATAGCATTGGTTCAGATCTGTACAGACTCTTCAACTACAGACTCGGCACTTCCCCCAAATATGCTCTACTGACATGGGAAGCACTGCTTTCCTCTCATTCCTCAAACTGCTTGGGATTTTGTCTGGCCAGAAAACAATCACAGAGTTCCAATTGATCTGAAAAACTGACTTCCTTTCCCTGGAAGCTCCTGGCCACAGGCCTGTTTCTGGATAGCTCAGGAGACACCCAATCCTGCTACCTCTTGTCCATGATTCCCTCTACCTGCCGGGTTTGTTGCACATAAGCACAATACAGTATTTAGAGCATAGTGACTTGTAAGTAAGTCTTGTAAGTAAGTCTTGTACGTAAGACTTGGTAACTCTTTCAGATCTTTCTCTTCCTTTCCAGAGATGACCAGGTGATTGAGCTGTGAGCAGAGCATTGGCTGTCTGGACAATTTGCCCACAGGTACAACCTCCGCAATTCTTTGAATCTGGATGCCTAAGGTAGACAATGGACCTTCGGTGGACTCAGTGTGAGAAACAAATTGTGAAAGGACTAGAATCAACAGTGCCTTTTCCTCTTCAGCAAGGCTAACTGCTCAGAGCTAACAGGCAAAGATGGAAGCCAGTCAATTCCTATCATCCAACGCAGGCCCCCTCCCAATAAGGGAGCTCTTCATGCTTCCTATGGTGGTGTTGTCTCCAGGCCTGGTAAAGAGAGCTCAGGGCCCAGTTTCCTCAGCCCCACCATTTCAACAGTTAAGACAAATTTTCTAGAACTCGGCCTCATCATTTTAGCTGCCACATTAAAGCCATCCTGTATGAACATCCAGAAAAATGTTGAGATAATGGTAAGTCAGTTATAAGGGCCATCAATGGAAGACTGACTTACTAGAAAGAGAAAGGTCCTGGGCAGCTGTGGGCTGAGACTGGCAGCTGTGTGGATCTTCAAATAAAAGGGGCAGCAGGGGCTGGGAATGTGGCTTAGTGGTAGAGTGATTGCCTAACATGCATGAAGGCCTGGGTTCGGTTCTTCAGCACCACATAAACACAAAAGGCCAGAAGTGGTGCTGTGGCTCAAGTGGTAGAGTGCTAACCTTGAGCAAAATAAGCTCAGGGACAGTGCCCAGGCCCTGAGTTCAAGCCCCAGGATTGGCAAAAAAAAAAGCAATAGCAAAGAACTAAGGGAAAAATGTATGTGTCTCATAGAGAGCTACACAAATGTAAGCTATTGTTCTCATGCCATTATTTTATGGTGATTATTGCAATCTGCATGATATATGCAAGGTAGACAGGACTGGCAGGGAAACACAACATTCTATTATTATTCAGTCAAAAGTTCTAAGGCACAAATGTTCCCCTCACTTCGATGTGTATGTGTGTGTGTGTCTGTGTGGGGGTGGGGGGGGTGGGGATGCACGCACATGTGTACTGGTACTTGGGCTTGAACTCAAGGCCCTAAACTATCACTTAGCTTGTTTTGCTCAAGTGATCTACCACATGAACCACCTCCACTTCTTTTTGCTAGTTAATTGGAGATCAGAGTTTCTTGGATTTGTCTTCCTAGGCTGGCCTCTAACCTTGATCGTCATATCTCAGCCTTCTGAGTAGTGAGGATAAGAAGAATGAATCGCCAGCACCTGGCCCTCACATTGATTTCTAACCTTTTTCTAGAAGGAATTCTGTACAAATCCAGGTGGCCCTGAACAATGACTCTTTGGGTTGGGTTCCCCTCCTCACATATGATGGCAGCTAAGCTCTGTTTCAAAATGAAGTGCTGAGTTATGATAATTTGCCTCAATTCCCATGGTGTCTTTTGTCTAACTTGATAACAATGTTTTTCATTAGCAGCCTTTGTTAACTGATCACCTAAAGCGGCAATGCGCTACTCATAAGCAATTTTCTGTGTGTAAGATAGAATAAACCATCTTGGAAGAGATCTGCTAATTGATTTGTTTCTTTTAGCAGCAGTTTAATTAAGACATCTAGTTGGTGAATGGTGAAATCACTTGTGAGCTAAAGGTGAAGGGCTCTGGGTTCCCCATCCATTGTTTTATGCCCCATACATATCATTTGCTGTCGGGAGTCTGGTTTTATTTTAGCTCCAAGTGCAGTAGAGACAGTGGGATATGACAGAGTTATGTCCTGAGAAATTCAAGGTTCATTGAGTGCTTTCATGATGGTGGAAACACCATAGTGTTTTTAGACCAACTCACTAAACAATTGAATCTTACAGGGCTGTTATTTATGCAGCCCATTATTGGCTGAAATGTCATTTATGCTGTATGCCAGCGAAGAGTTCCCTCATCAGGAAACCACATGGACTGGGGTCCTTAGAATGTGGCTCTCTAGCTTAACTCTCCATGCCCTAAGCTTCTTTCTCTACCAGAAATCCTCTCCACCCACTCGTGACAGCTCCTTGTGGATGAGGGTCCAGTGGCCAGTAGCTCTTAGAAGAATTTGGAGTTTCCTGATGAACTTGATCGTGAGTCAAGGCTATTCCAACATGGTTATCTCATTCTGTGGTTAAGAAATATGCACTGGACACCAAGGATGCCCTTGCTCTCTTGTCCAGTGTGCCTCTGAGCCCCCCAAACACATGCAGTGCTTTGACAAGATCTAGCCTGCCATGGTTTGGGGAATGCCATGCTTCAAGGGAAGGGATAGTGATTCACCACCTCTAGGAAGAGAACAGCCAGCCACAGGGTGTTTGGTGCAGTAGGCCTCAGGTGACAGTAGTGGCCAGGACCCAACAGCACAGCTGGAGCTCGGAGTTTCCAGGACTCAGTACCTGGAGGAGGGGGTGATTTAGGAGAATTACTGGACAAAGTCAAGAAATGAAGAATCAGGCCAGGTACTAGTGTTTCACAGTTGTAATCCTGGCTAATCAGGAGGCTGGGATCTGAGGATCATGGTTTGGAGCCAGGCCAGATAGGAAAGGTTATGAGACTCTCTTATCTCAAAATTAGTCACCACAAAGCCAGAAGTGGAAAGCTGTGACTCAAGTGGTAGAGCACTAGCTTTGAGCAAAAAAAAAAAAGTCTCAGAGATAGAGATAGCACCCAGGGCCTGAGAACAAGTCCCAGAACTGGCGTGCATGTACACACACACACACACACATACATATACACACAATGCAAATAGTGGAAGGGTTGTGGGATGGGCGTTAGAGGGAGAAATACCTGTGCTGGCTTAGGGAGGCCTTCGCGAGGAAGGAACAGGAGAGGGAGCCTCAACTCTGCTCCCAAAGTTGTGAGTCATTGACTTGGCTGTGGGCCACTGGCTTGGGGAAGGGTCAGATTGTAGACACATGATGCTCTGGTGTCAGAAAATGAATAGGCACAGAAGAGAGATGGATTTTTTCAAGGCAATTAATCTTTGCGCAGAAGGGTACACTGCAAAGCTCCCCAGAGCCAGGTAGGCACTCTGATGAGGTGGCCTGCTATTTTTTTTGGGGGGGGTCCAGTCATGGGGCCTGAACTCTGTGCCTGGGCGCTGTCCCTCAGCTCTTCAGCTCAAGGCTAGCGCTCTACCACTTGAGCCACAGCACCACTTCTGGCTTTTTTCTTTTTTCTTATGTGGTGCTGAGGAATCGAACCCAGGGCCTAAGGCATGCAAGGCAAGCGCTCTACCACTGAGCCACCTTCCCAGCCCTGCTATTTTTTTTTAAATCCCAACCCACACTGTCCTTCCTCCTTGTCAAAGAGTTAAGCTCTTGTTCTGTTTAAATTGGTTACCAGGGTAATGGGGTAGTACAAGGAAGTTAGAAATACTCCAACTATCCCTAGAGCAAGTTCCCACTCAAAGGGGTCTGTCTCATTGTGGCTGACTAGCAACGGGGCTACGGATGAGGTGGCTGATGGTTACAGTTGGGGATGGTTGGTAAAATCAGTGGAAAGTTCCCACTCCAGGGGAGGGAGTCTATTCTTTAATTCATACCTTTGACGTGGCTGACTGGTTACAAACAACACAGATGATAGCTACAGTTGAACTCAGGAAGCAAATAATTCCTGGAAATATCAGCACAGAACTGTGACTGGCTAAAAGATGGAGATACTTTGATTTGATGCAAAGATTGCTTTTCTTACAGTCTGCAACCAGGTACTGGGTCTCTAACTTCAACTCTTAGGAAGAAACCAAGACAGGCTATATTTGAAAGAACAAACTTCATGTTTCTGTGGGATTCATATCCAAATATTGGGGTTATAAAGGCTTATGTGGACAATTAGCACATTCTTGGGGACCCATGATATGAAAAGAAGGCTTTGTCCTCCACAAGAAAAGTCTGCAGAAGGCTGAGGCCTGTAATCATAGCTATTCAGGAGGCTGAGATCTGAGGATCGATGTTCAAAGACAGCCTGGCCAGGAAAGTCTGAGACTTTTTAAAAAAAATATATATATATATATATAAATGATTTTTCCCATTTTTTATTGTGAAAATGTGGTACAGAGGGCTTACAATTACATGAGCAAGGTAGTGAGTACATTTCTTATCAAGCATTGTTGCCTCCTCCTCCTTTGTTTCCCCTTCCCATCCCTTCCCATCTTTCCACACCCCCCCAAAGTTGTAAAGTTCATTTTTCAACATAACATCTTGTATATCTCATTGTTACAATGGGTCCACCTGTATCCCTATTTTAAAAAGTTATTTTTCCCTTCCCCTCCACAAATTATACCAACATCAAATACAGTGAAAACAGGGGTTATACCGTGGGGGAGGGACATACAAAGCAACAAAGAAGTCATCTTATAAATATGTTAGAAACAATTGCAAGAAAGAAAAACCATTTGAGTTCTTATCTTGGGGTTCATTTCGCCTAACGTCACCTTATCTGACTATTTCTGCTTATCTCAGACGTATACTAGTTATTGCAAATAAGGGAAACTATGGGACCTATGTTTCTTTGGGCCTGGCTTACTTCACTTAATATAATTTGTTCCAAGTCTTTCCATTTCCTAACAAGTGGAGCAATGCCATTCTTTCTGATGGAGGCATAGAATTCCATTCATCTACTGAGGGGCATCTGGGTTGTTTCCATATCTTAGCTATGGGAAATAATGCTGCAATAAACATAGTTGTGCTGGTAGTTTTAGTATGGTCTTGTTTGTGATCATTTGGGTAAATGCGGCCTCTTATCTCCAATTAACCACTAGAAAACCAGAAGTGGTGTTGTGGCTAAAGAGGTAGAGTGCTAGCGTTGAACACAAAAGCTTGGAAATGGGGAGGTGGGGAGGGAAGGGATGGTAAGGGAAAAACAAAGGAGGGGGTAACAATGCTCGATAGGAAATGTACTCATTACCTTACTCATGTAACTTTAACCCCTCTGTACAGTATCTTTACAATAAAAATATATATTAAAAAAAAACTTGGGGGCAGTGCCTAGGCCCTGAGTTCAAATCCCATGAATAACAAAAAAGAAAGAAAGCAAGAAAGCAAAGTCTGTAGGAAGGCCTGCTTAGATGAGAAGAGGCTGAGCCCAGAAGAGCCCAAAGTTAGGTGGAGAGGTGGCCTGAGGCAGACGACCTACATGAGGTGGATTTGGGCTATGCTCAGGGCACCGCCACTGACTGACACTTTTCCTTCTGTCATTTGTCCTCATCTGAGGCATGTCAGATTCATTAATCATCCTTCAAAAGAGGTGATTTCCCCCCACAAATATGTTACCATCAGATGACAAATGAGGGGGCCTATCTCTCAGGCTGAGAATATAGAGTGAGAGACTGACCCTCAAACCTCACTTCCTGGCCTATTTCCAGTCTAAAGTATCCATGGCCCTGAATTTCAGCTGACCAATGTTTTTCTCATTTGTGTCTGTGCAGGACAGAGCAGTGTTATAACAAAAGGGCTTTGAGACTGAGTACTGTAGAGTCATCCAATTAACCAGCAATACTGAGAGTGGAGGTGTGGCTCAAGTGATAGAACATGAACTATGAACAACCAAGAAAGCTGAGCAAGAGTATGGAGTCTCGAGTGCAAGATCCAGTACTAGCATGCCTGTGTATGTGTGTGCATGTATCTGCACGCATGTG